TTATGCCAATCAGTCGTTCTCAGTTCGGAGAAACTTCCAAAGATTCCAGTCGTAAAATAACTGGGTTTTAAATAGTTTAGCACTGAGTTTCCATCAGACTTTATTTTACCCTTATTTGGGTTATTAGGACCATGTATCAAGTATTTCTAATGAGTGAGCATAAGTCATTATGAGTAAGTATAAGTCATTATGAGTATAAGTCATTATCACTACCACTAATCCATTGTGAATTGTGGATATCACATATTTTTGAAATTTTATTCCGAAATTAAAATTAATGTTTAGTTTTTGCTCCTAAAATTATAGAAGTCATTTGAAATGTCTTCTTAGTTCTGATTTTTAAATTCAATTATTAGAATTTTATTCTCAAATTAAAAATGCGTTTATTATTTGCTCTTAAGGTTAAAAGTCGTTTGAATTTTTTATCAGTCCGATTCACAATTTAATTAATTTAATTCTATTTTTTTTCTGAAATTTATTTCAGTCATCGAATGTTTTAGAAATCACAATTTAATTATAAACCTTTTTTAAAATGAAGGTCAGTTTGGCATAAATCTCACGTTTAGGCAGATAGGTATCTTGAAACCACTTTTGTGCAAAGACAGAAATATGTAAAACCATCACAGGTTGTAGAAAATAATTTTTATCACAAGAAAATACGTTTTGTGCTCTAGAATGAAGTATGCAAAAAGTTTTATAAAAACAGGCCAATGAATATAAAAGTTATTAGTATACTTAGCCTCTAAATTTAAATTAGAATTAGGTACATTCTAATAATCTAATTATAATATTATATCTACGATTTGTGCTCATTGTATATGCGACATCATCACCATTGTGGGCCTTATTTTGCTCAATAGTTTTTATTTTAGTCCTAAAAGACCACCTACGTTCGTACATTAATATTACCTTATATTCGTACAATAATATTATAGTATTAAACTTATTACTATTCACTACTGTATCCACACTATTCCTTGGCTTTTACTTACAGACGAATTTAATAGTCTGCATATGTACATAAATCTGTATAAATATAGTATAATAATATAATATATATATATACCGATTTGTCTCAGTAACTTATCGCATAATTAATTTTAGTGTTTATATTATAAACTTATATTATATGTCTTATCTAGGTCCTATCATAAAAATACTAACTTAAAATGTCTTTTATAATTCTATATATACATCTTTAGTATACTTAAAATTTATACAAATACATTTAATGTTAATAATACCTAACCTACTTATCAACTATGGATTTAAATATCCTTATTTTTTATTTAATAATATGGTGTATTTTAACAAGTACACATAAATGAAAGCACATTAAATACAAAAATTATTTCTTCACTTTGGTAATGATAATAATCACAGTTGGCCTATTCCTATTTAAGGGTTGAGTTTGTATAAACACACACGATTACCTAATAGTGTTCATTTATATTATGAAGACGACAATTTTGTGCAGACTTTCCATACTTTGTGAGATTCATGTACCTCAGTCTCACTTTTCCTACAGTCTTAAACAATACCTATTCACATGACATTACATTCTACGTGTTTTAAATTAATCCAGCTTACCAATTTAATTATTTAATGTATCTATATAATAACTATAAACTACTGCAACGAATTGTATATCTATGTTAAGTTCACAATTAGGTAGGTGGCGCTGTGATCAGGTTATCCTTTTTTAAAAATATCGCTCGAGATCCATGTAAAGACATAAATGTCTTCTCTCTTCTCAGTTCTTTCGGATATTTTGTAAGTGAAGAAAGAAAGAAATAATATCATATTTGAAAATAAAGTTTAGATCGTATAGTCTGAACAACTCAGAGATCAGACTGATCAATAAACAGACGAAAATCAAAAAATACATTTTGGATACTTTTGAAGATGTTATTGGTTGGTCAGTGCAGTTCGTATACAGTTGTGCTAGAAACATAATGTAAGACGTACAGAAATAATAATAAAAGGTTCTTGCTCAAATGAGACGAGTATGGGAAATACAACCTACTGAGTGTACCAAAATATTTAATGTATATATACCTATATATGAAATGTTACCCAAATAGTTAGTGAGATTGTGGGCGCATGCGCGAGTTTTTCGGCCTAGTTAGTGACGAGGCCGTCGCGATTTATACTGTGGCCGCGGCTACCGATGTCGTGGTGTGCGTGCCGGTGTGCCGGCGCCTGTGTGTGTTTGGCAGTAGGACGCGCAGCGCGACCTAGATCACGTTAGTAGTACCCGGACACACCAACATCCCGAATGACCAACTACATAGTATAATATCGTTAAATGTGCCCCACATCACCTCAATTTGTACAGCGTAAAGGAAATTAAAGGGAAGAATCTCGTAGAGCTGATCGCATAAATATTACAATTTTATTTATAGTTATTGATTGCAACTACTTTATGTGTGGTAAATGGATTTGATTTGTGATGTGTTTATATCAGGTTGCATAAGCGCATCTAAGCAGAGACTCGTGGTGCACTCAAAAAAAATCTGACACAACCTGGCAACTGACCTGTATCCAATATGAGAGTATCCCAAGGAAATACCTGGTGTATTTATTTTATAGATGGAAATAAGTGGCTATTCCTTCAAGTGTCTCTGGAATAGTTCGAAGGTTAACCATGGGAATACTCTGCCCCAGCCTAACAGATGTTGATGTTAAAACATAGGCTGGGGGTGACTGGCAAACTCAACGAATGGGCCTCCGACAACTTACTGTCGCTAATACGTAGCAACACGGAGGCAAAATCCATTAAGCTGCTAGAGGATGGACAAATTTTCCAGGGCTAACAGGGCAATCACAGTCAATACCCTCAGCATTCTGAAACATTTCCATCCCCTCGAGTCTCCTTCTGCCACTCTTGCGAATCTCCACTCAAACCAGTCAATTGTGGCCAGATTGAGGTGGGAGGTCTGTTCCTCGTCAGTATTCACTCGAACCGTTCGCTGGGACGATCCGGAGATGAAGAACAAGACTCCCTGGAGTCAGGTCCGTGGGGTCGCCACTGCCCAACAGCTCGCCACTAGCTGCCTTGCGGACTTTTTGTTAGGAAATGTGTACAGTAGTCAGTTAATTTACCAACACTAAGATTCGTATCGACTCTGCTAAGTATAGTTCTTAAATATATTAGTTTTGATGAATTTCAACTAGCCATATTTAGTAACATGGCGTATTAATCATTTATAGCGGACCTCATAACCTATTTTTTTTATTTTTATCGTTGAAGTTTTTAGTTTTTTTAATTATTGGCCCTTGAGCGGGAAATTGATCTAAATTATGATGATATAGTTAAGTCTCAAATACATTAAATGTTTTTTTAAATGAATCTTAGACCCAATCAACTATATAAAATTCGATTCTTTATTTATTATAGTTATTTTGTAAAGAGAGTATACTATACTACCAGAGTTACTTTTATCAGCCTGTTTCCGTCTTGTGGTGGGCATTGAACATAGCACGTCACTGAGCACAATCTTCAACTCTTCACATTTACCCAAGAACATAACAAGTCCACTTCGGTCAATTTTTTGCTAGTTCTACCAATAAAATTAGTCGATTAAGAACCTAAGGCACCCACAAAATACCTGATAATACTGAAATACCCTGATTAGATCAGTTATAAAAAGCTAATAAGTTCAGTCTTCATTTAATTTTCAATTGTATACGAAAAATTCTTAAGATTGCATATTATGTTGAGGACAGTCTTTTTCGGAAACCCATGTACAGCACCAACACCACCTTCTATTTTGTTGAGCCAGTGCAGCCTCACTCTGATCCAGCCAACGTTCAATTTTCGCTTTTGTTACAAATAAGTTATGCGTCTCACGAACTGGATTTGGTATTTCAGATTTGATCATGTTTTCTGAATCTGTTTCAGATATATTTTCTTGGATGTCCTCGGCAGGACAGCCATACATTGGATCTCGAGAGGTTCCGGGCTGAGGTTCCATGATTTCAAGTTTAGGTGTTTTATAAGGTGGATAGTCCAAGAAATTCATTGGAGTAGATTGATTAACAGTTCCAGAAGTAGCATTTCCTGTAGTATTTGATTCCGGAGTTTCCTCTTCTATTGTGATCGTGCAGTAGCCTACAGTCATTATAGACCTGTGTCATATACTACATTCTTGAATGTAATAGCTTATTTGTAAGCATGACTTTACAAAATTCTCATCAGACAAAATTTTGGCAAGATGACATTGTCATATTATAGAAAATAATTTATCTTTAGGAAAGTTTAATTGTTTATTACAAATATCTATACAATGTTTTACTTGTCTGTTTATAGTGCAATCACCATCTAAAAATCGTTTAAATGCCATTTTTTTTCTAATTTTTTTATTGTCACTGGTTCGGTAAAAGATACCAAACTTAGCTTTTCTAAAAACTGGATTTAAACAAAAGCTCATACCAGCCAAAGTTAAGCCAGTATGAGAGCGACGCACTAGGCTTTTAAATTTGTAAACTATATTTCTCTTCTCCGAGAATGTAATGCCATGGCAATAGGGTCGATCAACGTATACTAATGCTTCCATTATTTTTACATTAGAAGACCTAATGTCCTCCTCTCGCCAAACGACATACGATTGGCTTTCCTCGCTGAAAGTGTAAGTATATACTTTTGTTAATCCCTGTTCCTTGGCTTGTACGAACGGTCCTGTGTGCGGATACCGTTCATCTTCCATCACAGTGATAATTCGAGCAACATGGTAGCCGGGGTCCCCTAATAAAAGGCCTCGCCTACTATGGATCTTTATATGTAGGCCGGCCAACAAGTGTTCTTTATCGGGGATGTAGAGATCATGTGCTCCGCTTGTTATTTTGGCGTCAAATACCACGTTAGGTGCAGATTCCTCACAGGAAAGAGGAGCCATTGCCCATACCAATTCAGGGAACTTAAATCGTAGGCATTGCCAACGACGAAGGAGTTCCAGAGTCAATCCGACACAAGTAGTACTTGGCCGGTATATAACGGGTCAGAAACTCTGATATGCCTCATACAGCGAGCTACTTGCATTTACATTTTGAGTATAATTATGAAACTCCAAGAAGTTGCTTATGGAATCGTAATTTACACTAATTAATAATCTACGAAGAATATTTTCCATAGAGGCTACGAGTTCCCTGTAAGACTCATTCGTGAGTTCTAGAGTTCTTAATTTCGGCCCCCATTGACTTTTCGGTAATGGGCGGTTTACTCTAGAGTTTGTCCAGTTTATTATTTCAGGGAATTGTTTGTAGGGGACAGCTGGAGTCTCAGAAGCCGCCGTCGTTAGTCGCTGGTAGTAGTCGCCGTCCACCTTGAAACAAAAACTCCTGTTAGTTCTATAGAATGGCAAGAGAATGAGAAATTACAAACAACCGTGCAAATAAAAATGTTTCGTACAGAATGACATAAAATTCGTGAGCAATATTTGTAAAAAATTCTAGGCTCTACGTACGATTCTAAGAGCATTAGGCTATTGTTATGCAAATCAAAATATAAATGTAATAATGGTAGTATGTAAACGTCATTTTATTTGTAAACTACAATGTGATTACAATGTAACCGTGACGTAGGTAACCTATCCAGACAACGTGTTATCTGAATTACATACTAAAAAAACCTTCGCTATTGATCACATTACGTATTTTCCATACAAATTAAGGTAATGGTAACTTAATCAATATTTACCCATATATATATTGTACCTAAAATAATTTTGCTTTGTGTTTTTAAGTAGGCGTTATTAAGTAAACAACAGATTTATTATTTACCTATTAATATTATAAAGAGGTTAAATATTATAAAGGTTTATTTATGCCAATATGAAACCTTGTATATTATATTATTCTAGTTTTTCCACGTCATACCTATGAACCTATTTTCGAAGTTTATTTATATTTTTATTTACAAATACACGGAACGACATTATATTTCGTCGCAAATGGACTTTTAAGACTTAACTTCAAGAAGTTAATATTAAAAACATATCTATGATAAATTCATTATGATACTCTTTATTTTTGTTTGTTAAAAGGCACGTATTGTTTTTACTTGGAATAGGAATTTAGTACTTATGTACGTGCATGTACAAAATATTTTTCTATTATGCTTCACTGTCACAAAAAGAAAAAAAAGAATAATCAAAATTTCTTTTTTAATAATTACAATATTAAAATTATTTTTGAAGTCCAGTTTTGAACCCTATCGAAACGCAAGAACATACCGAAGTTCTAAAAATGATATTTAGCCTGTAAAAATAGGTTTTCAGATTACAATAACTTAAATACAATAAGACAACACCGTGAGAAAGTAAATAATTATGAGAAAATTAATTCAAGTCCTAATAAAATATTTTAAAAATTTAAACATCATATTGCAAGGAGTAACAAATGACGACTTGGTGTTGGTTGTTTTGATTTTCCGTAAAAATGCGTAAATTTTACAAAACTTTGTCGATGTTTTATTACCTGCGATTAAATTTTTTCGATAGGAGAACATAAACTAGCAGGATCCCAGAAATATTCCCACGCAGGAGCTGCAGGGGCAGGGTTGTGAGCTGGTACTTGTAACCACGTACTAAATAGTTCCTACATTAGCATTGCCAATGAATGAATAATGTGTAATAAAATTGTGACGGTGAAGTGGAATTCATCTTATGAAATGATCAGACACAGTAAAAAAATTTTGCTGAAAATTCGCTTTGTGTTTGCTGTGCATCCGCGTGGGCAATAGTCGCTAGCTTGACTATAGCTACCTGTACCTGTTCATAATGAACGGTTCTGGGCTGCTCATGAGGATCTCTTATTATCGCCGACATGATCCTCGCGTGACGTCAGCCTACACTGCGGCCCCGGCTCGAAGACAAATGATTTTTTCTAATTTGACAGTAGTGAGAACCGCGAACCCCGGAGTCGGTATATTTCCTGCCGTATGTGTACATTCCTCTTCCCTCTGTGGCATTAAGCTGCCTATATGCAACAGTTTGCACCATTCCGCGACTGCAGATCTCTGCCCAAAATTTGGCCTAAAAAAATATTCGACGGTAACACAAGATGAGAGAAGAATAAATCTGTCTTCCTATGAATTCTTGTTTATAACAAGCACTGTCAAACTTATTCTTAGTGAATACACACTTCGAATCCTGTGGTTATTAATTATACAATCATAATGATTCAATTTTTAAAGTTAGCCACATAAGCATCTATTCCACTGATTATTTTGAGATATGTTCATTCCACAGATACAATTCAGTTGTATTCTGAGACATGTTCACAAATTACAGCACTACTGTCGCGTTTGTTTTTCAATGTCCGAATTCATACGTTTTCCTAAAGTCATACTTCTAGGTACGTCATAAAATTTACAAACCTACGAAATGCTCTTTATATGTATTAGTATTGGATTTCTATGGCACTTGTGAACATAAAATATTATTTTTCTATATAAATGGTCTCCATTATATGTATATTATCGATTATAAATAATTTTTTCATACAATCTTACATGATTGTAGTACACGACCAGTTCAACCAGAAATTTGTTTCGTTTCAGTCGTCGCGACTATATCCAGTAATTCCTGTATTGACAGAAAAGGCACATACATGTTTGCGCAGAAGGCGAAATGACTTCCATTCATAGCGCACTAGATTCGCAAACGTGTCAAGGGGCCCATTGTGCTCGCGCCAGACACTTATCTACCTTTGCGAACACGTGTGCGCCTATCCTATTATTAATCCAAAGACCTCTTTTTATTACAATTGTAACTGAATTTTTATTGCATGTCCGTATAGACATTGAAATGTTACTTTGAAATATTATTATAGTGTAACTGTACGACCAAAGGTGCAGCAAAAGTTGAGCTTGAGCGTATTATCTTCCCGTTTCTATTTAGGTAGGTACGTCGAATGTCTTTCGGGATGGACTTACGAATCTGATAATAAGATGTCACTGGCTCTTATTTAACCGAAAGTCATAGGCTATCTTATCGTAATTGGGTCTGTAATTGCGACTGCGGCATAAGTCGTGACGTGCGAGACAGGAATGCGCAAATCATAACACGCAGCGTGTGAATCGACCCAATGACGAAGTCAGATAGTCTGAGCAATTTCTGGCAACAGAAGCCTGATATCAGGCCATTGACTAACTTTTTGGACTTGAGCAGATAACAAGTTCTTGATTAAAAAATAATTACGCTTACATTCATTTACTCAGTAAGTCTAAAAATATACGTTTAATTATATCACGGTACGAGATATGATTTGGATTTTATTTGCCTCACAAACATAACCGAAATTGTTTAAGCCGGAATATACAATATACACAACAATAAAACGATAGGCTCGCGCCATTCAAGCGCCTTAAGGGCGCGGGTGGGTTCTTCAAATAATTCATTTACAGCAGTGTGCCCCTGATGAAAAGCGCTGTGCAGCGAGGCGGGCTCCGTGAGCATGTAGGCCACCTAGTTCGGCAGCCCCCTCCTTACTGGCCCCAACCCTGCCCCCCTCTGAGCAGCACGTAGCCCACCCCAAGGGATCCCGTGCCCCCGCGACCTATTTATTTCCTGCTTTACGTGAGGCGTTCGAGCCCATTCTACGAACGAGCTATTGGAGACTTTGAAATTTTTTACATGTGAATTTCGTACATACGTATGATAAAAAATACTACAATCATCCATCATTTTGGACCATGGGCTAAGACCCATGGCATTCACTAACTACTATTTTTAATTCAAGTGTAACATGTTTTATTTGAGTTCAAAGTATTGAGAGGGGAAAGTAATATAGATAAACGTTGGAATTTCGACCAAAGCAGAAACCAACTTTCTCCTTCATGTGTTCACTAGAGATTACAATTTTGATATAAGTGTCGACCTGCTTACGTTGAACAATGCATTGCTTTGTTTCTTATGAACCTGTTATCAAAATTGAATAGGTGAATACTTAATAACCGAATTTTAGTTACGTCCCAAAATATATTGAAATGGAAATGCACTAATAGTGTTCAATTTTTTTCGCAAAGTGCAGTTGCATAGTACAATTTTGTACGGTATGTTCTAAATCTTCATGATACACACGGCTCGCGAACCCCTCCAATAAATACCTACTTGATTGAGTGGCGAAAATTAACTGAATTTATTACGTTATTCATTCACAAAAGATTTTAAGCGATTCGTTGTAATTTGATTTACACAGCAAAACTTCACTTACGTTAATAAAGTTCCCATATAGGTTGGGCAAAACACCAGTAAAATGGCTGAAGCTCTGTTTATAATAGTATAACTAATGCCGGAATACTGAAACGTTTGCTAAACATTAATTAAAACCAAGGTTACACTAGTGTACAAATGTCCTGCGACACGTGTCGCCAGCGACGTTGGGTCAAGTAGCCTCTTTTTCGTAGAAGTACACTATGCCTTAAAATACCCAATAGGATATTTAAACAGTAATATTTAGGTCTATCTAAGTATCCTTCTTCTTCGAAAGACAATAATCAATTCGAGTCACAAAGGGTTGAATTCGATTTTTCTAAACGAGTAAGGTAATACCTATGTCTATAATTAAACCTACCTCTTTCCTGTATCTCCCATCTTCCTCGTTCACTTCTAAGTTCACGTTTCCTTTCGGTGCGTCGATCGCTTCGACAAGCTTTTCAAGCAAATTCTGCGGTTCTTCGTCTAACGGGTCGTTACTCTAAATTACACGAAAAATGTATGATGAATAATTTAATCAAGATTTCATATTTTATGTATTGCTGTGTTGTGTAATTTAAATAAAACTTACGGTTTTTGAGTCGGTGTCTGTAGATAACACTATAATTTCTGAAGAATGTGCCGAGCTCGAGGAAAGGGTCATGTAATTCGTGGCTGTCTTTTTTATCTAAATAAAACAAATTAATTAGTAATTAGAACAATAATACTAGATTTCATGTTTAGTTCATAAAAGTCAAGTTTTAGGCTAAAACGTACCAATTCTTGCTCGCGTGCCAGTCTTGGCGCCCTTGTTTGTAGTCCACTTGGCTAAATAAGAAAATAAAATAACATTATTATAAGGAGTTACTATTATCTTTTACATTATTTATTCATAATTGTTACATAAATTATAATTAACAAAAATCTATATTATAAAATATTAATTGTGGAAGTATTCAAAGGTACCTACCCCTGCAACATCTATATCGTCTTCACTGGTCTCGTTTTTATCACTTTCGTTGTCTACCGTTTCGTTGTCGTCTGATTCGGCTTTAGTCATTTCTTCGTTGATTCTTTCTACTTCAGCCATATCGACATCACTCATATCGACTATAACCGTTTCGATTTCAGGCGGCTGAATGAGACAAATAATTCCACTATGAATTCTTTGAAAAGCACAAAATTTTGTATACATTTTAAGAGTAATTGAAATTAAAGTATTCTGTAAGCACAATGACACGACGAAAATTTGTCCTGCGGCTTTATTCTTAGATAAGAGATTGGAAAGATGTTGGTAGATAAGTAAGACGGGTCATGCTGCTTACCACAGTAACCACTACGTCTGATAAACTGACACCATGGCGTTTGCTAGATTTAGTTTGATATTTTCGTCTTTGATGTCAATTATACTGTCCTTTTGAAATAAGCAATTGATATTTATTTTTCCTACTTACCTCAGGTTCATTATCTGAAAAATCATCGTCGCTAGGTTGCTGATTGGAGTTCTCTATGTCTTCATTTAGCAATTTGTCCGCTTTTTCTGAAGCATCTTTGAGCACTTCTGGTTTTTCCTCTCCACTGTATTGGACCTGTACAAAATACTTACTATATCTACCATAATTGAACAATTTACTATTAATTTATTTAAGTCTTTTTATACGTAATGTGTCGACATTTGGCTAGTATCTCGCCTAGTGGTAAGAAGTGCTGTTGTCAACTGTAGAGCAAGCCTGCCCATAAGAAATTCGCTCGAACCTTGAAACACCTAGGTTATACGGTATACCCTTCGGGGAACAGAGATTCCGCAAAGAACCAGCTTCGCACCAGTGTTCAAGACTTTGAAGAAAGTTTGGGTACGATTTTTGTAACAAAGTTTTAGGTAACTTTAAATAGAGTTATTGTACAGAATGTTTATGAAATTAACATACAGTAGAGTTCATAACTGTTTAGTTTTTTGATCATATGGCATCAAGAGATTTCGCATTTCTAAACAAAAATAGTGCGATTTAATGTCCTGAAAATCAGTTCTCTGAAACTTGTAATAAAACTGGGTTGAAAGTTATCTTATTACTAGGTCGTGAACTTAGACCAGTGTGCAATCGATTTTTACGTCACTAACGATGTTATTACTTCTTTGAAAATAACATAACGGATGGAAGCTCCCCAAAACGTCATTCATTTAATCATTAGCACGACAAAGTAGGGTGTACATTAGAATTGTAACTTTCTAACATTACCAATCGATATCTTAAAATGACAAAAATGGATGACGTTCATTAAACAAAAGTAATAAATTATGATAAGTGTATGTTCATCGAAATAAAAATTTATTTGAACAAATTGAGTTTGGGGTACCTAAGACCGAGCATATTGAATTTTCAATCTCGATAGCTGTGTGTAGGCAATGGGTTGGAAAATTCACTGTCAGCCTCAATTCACATTAGTGAAGTATCGTAAGAGCTTCGAGCTGTTCGTTCGACATTTAATTTAATGCCTAGTAAATACGGAATCGTTTAATAAGTTTCATCTTATCTAACACTAACTCTGCCTGCGGTTTTACTTTCGTGGTCTGTTCCTAGGTCTTCAAGTCAACTTTGGTATGAGACCATTCTAAAAACTGAAATTACAGACCATTATGGGGAGTGAGCCTAAAACCGTAGGTATACCGTCTATTGCTGCTACTGAGAATTTTCGAAAATTGAAATATTCACCAAACCAAAAATTCAACTCGAGATCTCTTGTCTAAATCCATTTTTTTACAATATATTATTTAAAGGTTCTAATACATTCAATATCACGTACATGGGCACCTATTGGAAGAGACGAGTATCTTCTATGATGAAAATCCATTAATATTTTGTCTCTTCTCTTTTATAAAGGGTATAAGGAACAACATCATCTATATCTAGTACGATAAGATTCATTTTTAAATACAAAATTTCTCAGCGCCCTATATTCAGATGGTTAGAATTTTAATGAATCAATTGTGGAGTCGTACGGCGCGGCGCTGCATTCGTTTGAGAAAATTCAGTTAGGATGACCTAAATTTCTTAGAGGTACTTCTTCTACATCTCTTTCTACTTTTAGTTAATTTTACTGTCGTTCTGTGATCTCTTCTCTCTCGTGCTTCATCGTAGACCACATCATCGCTTACCACCAGGCGAGATAGTGATTAAAGGTCGACACATCAAATTTATATATAAAAAATACTTGTTCTAGGTTTGCATTACTTTCGTTTATATGACTAAATTTTGTATATAAAGAATTGCTAATAATACTCTTATAAAAAAGTGTCCAAAATATATAATTTTATCTCTATATAGTTATATATTTTGGAGACATTGCTTTTTGTTTATTTCTAATAAATGTGCCTAGTACATCTTCATCATACTTAGATTTACTTTCAATAATGTCATGAGTTCTGTGTAATCTAAAATCATTTACTCAATCCGGGAATCGAAACTCCGCCTTGCTCGATAGATAATTGCTACACTTTAAATCATCGTTGCAGATCATAGTGGCGCCTTAGTTTTTGTGTGCAATTATATATACCTACCTAAATTATTGATTGTATTTTTATTTATTAAAAGAATTAATAAGTTATTTATACTATATTTATTTATTGCAGACTTACCTTTGGGCCTGGTATATGATATGTCTCAACGGGAGGCTGTATAGTTTCCTCCTCACAGGGACAAATTGAGCACTGTAACAAAGGAAACATGCCTTATCTAGTGCATCTATCAATTATTAAATATATTATATTTTATAATGCAAGTCAGAGTAGATATGTCGACTCTATAATATTAATGAATGTAAAAAAATAATTAAGACAAGAACCTACATACTTTAACTGTTAAGATATATATGTATATATATATGTATATATATTTGTGCAAAAATCATTTTAGGTAGGTTAAAGCCGTTCAATTATTAAGATTTAAAAAAATTTAGACTGAGTAGGTACCATACTATATGCTAAATAAAAATTAAAAAATAAGTTACATTTTATTAAAAATCCTATTAGAATATTGTGAGACTCCAGTAGCGAATTGGAGACTGTTTGCTCGACCACTCGAGCAACTAGTAGTTAGTACATAGAATGCATTCTGTAGAGTAGTAGCGCAGCATGTGCATTGCGCAGACTGCATTAACTTGGTTTCAAGTAACGTCAACAAACTTTTACTTTTACACTCGCGGTTGCTTATTTCATTTTAACTGCAGCAGTTTGTGTTGTAACAGTGCTAATTGCCGTATTATATCTATCTATGGGTTGTTTATGATCAATTAGCATGGAGGAATACTAATTCGATAAAGCAGCTACATCGTATTAATTAGGTCCGCTTTGTGTTCTATAAAGTATGTCGCATGATAACGTGACCCCACTGACTCGCTAGGCCAAACCAATTCTGTGCGTTAACCGTTTTCGGTGCGAGCCGAATTATCGACGACTTCTGCTAACATAGCGGACAAATGCCGCATAAACCATTGCAGCGTTGCCATAGAGATACCATTTCTTTCGGGCCCATTGGGGCTTTAAGGGTCTTTTTCCCATGAAGCGTGTGCCACTTTCGGTTACGACGTTTTGACTTTAAAGAACGAAGAGGCGGAGAAGTGCCAAGTGCGCGGGGCGAGGGGGGCCTTAGACGCGCATACGTATAGAGTATAGAGTATAGAACACAATGCGGCATCGGTCTGCGTCGACGTGGTCTGCGCGCCAGCGTAGTAGCCGCCGCGGTTGTCATAAATATACTTAACATGGCAGTCGGTGCTGGCATAACACAGCCGACCGAAGCACGAGATGCCGTCCCCAGGTGAGTGCTGCTACGCGTCCACATCCACTTCCTTTACTTTTATCGGCGATTTTCTTTTTTTAATTTTGGCGTAATTCTTTATTTGCTAGCGAAATTTAACAGTAACTTCTAGTCGTGTTATTGAATCGTTGTTATCGGTTGCTCTTATCAAATGCCGCGTGTAAACCCGAGTTTTTAAATTTCCTGAATTTACTTTTCTGAATTCGGCTACTTTTTTGTTCTGCGTTTTTTCATTTATTTTGGGTGATAACGGTTGGTTAGCCGAGTTTTTTGGCATTACCATGTCCTCAATAGTAGGGCAGTATTTATGTATGCAGAAGACACGTTCTGTTTACTACGGCGCCGCGGCGGGCGGCGGGCGGGCAGCAGTGGCTCACGCCGCGCGTTGCGCCGCGTCATGTGCCGCTCTATCCGAGTGCGCGCTTATCATTGTGTTCCGCATATCGTTACACCGTTATCACTGGCGGCTCGTGGTGGCGTGTTCAAGGCATTTTCAGTACCTACGTTGTCGCCTATCTAATATTTGTTTAACACGATTTATACGACGCCCGCCAAACCTATTACTGTAGCATACCAGTACATATACAAATTACCTATCAGCCGCGAATTGAACGCAACGGATGGTAGTTAAAGGTACGGCTACGAAACAAAGAAAACAAAATGAGCAGGTACATTGTATAACGCATGATATGCAACACGAGCCAGTGCGGAATGCATTGTTTGATAATAATATGAATGGACCGCGTGCTAGTATGGATCTCATTGCTCCATAATTATAAATAATATTCAATGTTCGATCAACTCGTTGTTGAACACAAATTGCTGTTCGTTTGTCTATCATTAACACGAAGCGTTGCTTTGTGTCACTTGAATTCAATTTGTCAGTAGTAGTAATAGTAGCTGGAGCTACAACTAACTAGATACCTACTACTCTAACTCATTGTTAGGTATGACCAAAACAATTGAATTCTTCTCTGATTCAGATTTTTTAATCTGAATTATTTTTAGCACTGTCTTTAAAACAGCTATGCTTTATATTTTTGAAATTGGCAACATTACTCATTCATTATACCTAGTGGGCAACTTTTATACACTTTGCACATGTTCTAAGTAGTTTGATAAAGTCTAATACAAGTCTGCAAGTACTAAGTAGTCTGATAACGTATAACACAAGGCTACAAGTACTAAATTGTCTTGTATGGCAATGGCTATTAGGTCCACAATGCTTGCTAATGCAGAATGGCGATTTTGAATCTTATTTGCACAAGCATTTGGTAGTAACTTGTAGCTACTTTCTTTAATTTCTTTCTATCTTATCCAAAATTGTATAAAAGCTAAATTCTGAAAAACTGTGTAGTATAGTCTGATAGCGTATATCAATAATAAATTTTGTAGGTTTTCAAATTGCTATAATTTTGTAAATTGTAAATTAGTAATAATGTTTCCATTAGGACAAAAAGTATTAAGTTCTGGGGTAATACCAACTGACTCTTATTTGTCATTCTATTCTTCAATATTCAAAAACCATAATACACATTTTCAATCATACATACTTACATATATATTTACCTACATAATAATTTGATTGAATATGTACTTACCAAACAAAAGCAAAGGGTAAAGATACATATATGAAATAAAATAAAACAAAAAAGAAATATTTGCTAAACAAAAATAAAACAATAAAAATAAACAAAATTTATTCAATAAAATAAAAACATCAGTTGTTTCTTGCCTAATTTCTAACAAGCCTAATAATTTATAAAAAATACTTTTTTTTTTCTAAGCTAGTTTTTTTCACTGTTGTGAAAATATTACAAGATAATTATATTACACCATAAACATTAAAAATCTTTGGAATGTTCATATAACAGTCTGTAATTTCACATTGAGACTAACATGATTATTCTCATTTATCTGTAGAATTGAGACTTAGGTATAATCACCAACAACTTAGACTTTTATGAGATTTCTAGAGACTGTACAGTGCACACAATTTCAAATGCAGTCTCTAAATTACATTACAATAAATAGTTTTATTAGAAATATTAATGACTGTATATGGAAACATTTTGGAGTTTGTCATTATGGCTAAGCCTCAAGTATTAGGCAGCTTATGCCTTAGAGGTTAGTCCTCCAAGTTGGAAATTCCCTTTGTACTATTGAAACTTAACTATCTGATCCAAGCTAAATTTGGAAGGATTTAAAACTATTTGTTTCCTATTTCTCTTAAATTTCTAGTGAGGAAATCAAGTTATGTAATGTATTCTTGGTTGATCCCCACTGTAGGCTTGCATACAGGAGTTGAACTGGCCAAACATCTTCTCATGCATGTGTGAGAGAATAAGTTCCAAAACATAAAACAAAAAGCATAATAAAATTATAATATAATTATGAATAATTTAGGAATAATAAAATAAAATAATTTATATTTTATATATATAAATAAAATATATATATATATATATTTGTATTATGTACCCAAAAGATGGAGTGCTCTCTCAGTAGGTGGCTTGGGTACATGTTCTAGGATTATAACCATGTATTTATTTTGTAATACTGGTGTGTTGAAAATATTATTATCTGCATACTGAGTACAAAATATGCAGTATAATATGGTTACTACCTTGCACAACAAGTATATTGGTAGTAACTTAGGTCAAACCAAGCTATAGACTGTCTGCTCTACCCAAGTATGAATAGTGAGCCAGTTCACAGCAACTTGAATAATAAATTAACCTGAAAACATCAATAACAAATTGCTTACCTCGTAGAAATCGTCTTTGGGGTTGAGCGGTCTCCTCACCGCCAATGTATCAGGCAGCTTCTGTTGGAAGCGTCGGTCCGCCATCTTGACAACTAGTGGGCTGGCGGCAGGTACCTCAGCATGTTTGGTTTCTATGGGTTATCTCCATGCGCTGGTCAGTCCGCTTGCGCCTAAACACAAAATGAAACCCATGACTATCCAATTTACTGGTTTCCCTGGTGTCTTGTGTGATGAGTACCTATAGCTGCTCACTTGCTGATCAGGGTTCACAAAAAATACATACCGAGTGGCGTATCTCGCGTTTAGATGAGAATACCTAGCGTCCCGAGTGAATACGGCCCGTTGCCATAAATTTTGGCATTATTAGAGTGCACGAAAGTACCGCGGTAAGGTCGATGACGAAGACTGAACTCACCAGTTTAAGTTGATCCCCGCCGCCCCTGTGCGCGCGCCGATCGGTGTTAAAGATGGGTCCGAAGCGTCGCGCGTCGCTACTTTTCGCGGTTCTTAACGTTTTGGGCGTCTTGTAACGCCAGCTATAAGTTGCGTTAGTAGCTGCGCATTACGGTGCCCTAGTTATTTCGGGTGCCGTCCTAGATACAACGAGGCCGAAATGCTGTTTTCATAATCAGCAGCGTGTTTTATTCGATGGGGCCGCGATGGGCTACCCGGCGACGCAGATACTGACTTGGATCGTTAACACCGCGTCACGTCCGCCGCGCAGCCGCTCGTGACATGCGCTGTGCAGCGTTTGCCGGACCAATCTCTGCACTCCCCTCACCGAAAATTATATCGATCGGAAAATGGCGGCGGCGTCCCTTATATTCCTTAGCGTTCAAATATGGACCCTAAATGCTTAATTATCGACCTAATATATTAGAAATTATAAAATACTTACCACATATTTTATAATTTCTTATGCGATATAAGAAGGTGAACCTACGTCACGTCCCTTTGTCCCTTTTATCTCTATCGTACAACCTAAGCACCTATATAATTTACTTAGTCCTATATTACATTTTTTTTTCTTATTGGTAAATATTATGCCGAAATATTATAAAGATGAATCCTCAAATATTTTATAAAATTTGTTGCCATCACAATTAAAATATTTCGAGTAGGGGATAACAATGGGTACATTATTTGATCGGTAACCTATTTAGGATTATAGATTATAGGCTCCAGGCCACATTCGTAGATAAAGTGGAGGTACATCCCGAGTCAGAGCAGTGACATAGGTATATAGAGCTGATAGGGCCGTAGCGCGCCGCGCGCTGGCCTCGAGCCTCGGGCCCGTGGAGCCCAAGGAGAAGGGGAGGTGATATGCCATTTAGTCCAAAGTAAGCCAAGGCCGGTCTGGTGGGGATAACGCTTACACGTGTGACCTACATAGACGCCGAGGGGCTACGGAAACGCACGACGGAGCACGACGAGCGCGCGCCCCGTCACCAAGTGCCGAGCCAACTGATCAATATCGACACTATCACGACCACATACTTACTCTAAGCTGCTCTAAGACGGCAGCGTTTATCTCGCCGTGCGCCTTAACTCCACGCCAGTCGCCATTTCAAACCCCAGCAGTATACCCACGGGCTTTCTTTGTTGCTGCACGTGAATTACAACACGTGTCTACACTACGGTCACTGACCTCGTAATTTATTTGCATAGGAGCCACCGGATCCGTCCTCCCACGACCACAGAACACCAATTTTCCACTTAATCACTATTTAATACGTCACTAGCTGTTTCGTAGGCACAGACTTAGTGCTCTACGGTGCAGTACTAAAATATGCCCCCTAAGGTAGGTAGTTGCCCACAGTTGATCAAAGGTGGCGCACGGCAGCCCGGAGTGCATCGATCGCGATTACATCACCACCCGCGTCCTTTCTCTGCGCGCGCAGCACGCCCCGTGCCCCCCTCCCCGGCCCCCGAGCCGCGTCCCTCTCGCAGCAAACGCCATGGCTCTCCGCTACGTGCCGCCATTCGGACTGTGGTCGTCGTCGGCATCGGTCGTGCTCTTGGAACTCTCTATACCACAGTGGAAGTTTAACTTTAGTTCAACATTTTCAAACTTAGTTTTTGTTCGTGCAATGTGAGGCGCGGTAACATTAACTGGAAATAGGGACTTGTAGTGATCGTAAATCAACTTTAAAGTGAATAAAAATATTTTATCTCGGTTTTAAAAATTTGTGAGATGTCCGCGACCTACTTTTGCAACTTCCGTATAGTCGAGTTTCAACTTCGCGTTTTTTCTCAATCGCTCAAAAAGTTATAAGATTAGAAAATTCGGTCCGCGTTCGGTAGTGCGCTCATAGAACAATTACTAATATTTTTCCTTCTGCTTTGTCATGTGACTCGCGTCTCGCAGTAGTAGTTCGCGCACGTGTCGCGTTTACGTTCAATATTTTAATTACAGTTGGTGCTGAACATTGCTGAAAAATGAAGACTTGAAGAAAGAAAAATAATAATATGTCAGTTGTGTCGGGGGGAGGAATTGACTAGACTTTTTAAATACAAGTCAGTCTTTTTCTCTCTCCTATATGACTGGCATACAATCATCAGTTATCATTCACATGCTGCGCCTGAGTACTCGTCGCTCCGCTCCTAGCTTGGCTATGTCCGCAGTGACGTCAGGGATTACGCAAGCTGTTATTTGATTCGGCTGCGAAATCACTGAATTTTCTGCTTGAGACAAGGCCGTTTTTAGAAGATCGTCGTCGAAATTTATATGTTTCACTATAAATTTATTTTGTACTATATCTATGTCTTTTGCTTTAGGTGTCTATGTCGTAACAGTTCGGTTTGAATCATTGCACCGAATGACGAAATCGAAATAATCGTCGGCGCGGCACGCTCGTGGCGGGAATTGGGCAATCTGCGAGCGAACGGATGTCTTGCCCCGCACCGCGCACTCCGCACTCGCTCCGCTGCCTAAAATTTAAACTTGGTCGAAGAAACAGCTCAACGGACATTTACAAATTTTAAACTTGTTAAATTTTCCTTTTTGTTACAGTATGCATCAGTGCGAGGCGCCTGCGACGTTGAGCGGTGGCCTCTATTTATATAACCTACTCGCCAATTGCGATTGATGTTTAGCTATTTGTCACTATGCTCACTATGTACTATGCATTGCGATTTAATAAAACTGTTTTCATTGAAAATCTACTTGTTTTTACTGGTACTTATTTTTTATTTTGATATTATTATTTTTGACCCCATACACTGAACACGGTAGAGTAAATAATTTAATAATTAGAAGAAACATTCACGAACACACAGAACACTTAAAAGTTACACTAAACAGATACAAAGTTAGTGGGTGGCTCCACCTGGGACCGCCCTCAATGGTTGCGGCCCAATAGCGAGCCGTATCCTTGTCCTTGATAACCTTCAAGGCTTCCGTAAAACCTCACTCTCAGACAGCTTAGAAAAAACACAATAGCTAAGCGAATGAAGTCTTATAAATAATGGCGCTATTATCAGCAAGGAACAATACACTATTTACTCGTACGATAGTAATATCAAAATAACAGTTATTGGTGAAATGCTTCAAGCGAATTTAATCTGCCATTCATTTCAAAATTGTAAATAAAATTATTGACTGATTGAACATCTTATGATTGAACTCACACTTACCCAGCAGACAAACTGACTACACCATAATGTAGGTATGTGAGATTATAATGAAGTAACGCTACATAAAGTATATTCGATAATAAACAGATCAAAGAATGCAATAAACGTACGATAGTAATTAATATTAAACTGATTTAAAACAATTCAAAGTATAATAACAAAATCGATCATTGAACCAAGCCACGAGTTGGTGATAACGGTAATACCATTTTTTATACCTACGTTGATAACCTAAATTTGTGGGTATGACAGGAAATCGAACTGCAGTCAGATGCTCAGAATATGTTATAAGGCCTACACCTTATACGGATAATTATGTAAATAATAATAATGACCACATTGATAACAGTACAAACCACATTGTTCGTTGTTTACTAAAATATTTCAAATGTAACAACAGAAGGATTTTATAGAAGTTGTGAATTATAGGGCGTTAACTAACCACGTGGTAAATCATGGAGCGAGTTTAGACGTTTAGTGGTAGGAAGAAAGAAATAGAATGAATATAAATACAACAGAAGAAATATATATACAGTTAGAAATAACTATGGGTGGCTATAGAGAATTGAATGCGGTTATGGCATCGCATTTTGCAATAGTGAATATTCATAAAAAGCTATAAAATGAAACGGTACTTAATAAATTGTAACTATTTATTTTAACATAACATAACATAACATCACGCCTTTTATCCCCGAAGGGGTAGGCAGAGGTGCACATTATGCCACTGTACAATGTAACTATTTATTTTACACTCAAATAAAAAGTTATAAGGAAGTCCACATACAAACAAAACGTTACCAGTTCATAGTCAAAATACGGGATAAGAACTACACTATGAAAAGATATATAATTTGTAAAACAGTCTTACCTAATATAATGAAAGAGATACAACCTAGTATGAACCTTAGTTAAAATCAAACGTGAAAACAAACATGTTAATAGACAGAATTAAATGATATTTTCAACCTAATTAAAGACTTTTTTAAATTAACATAACGTAACATCACGCCTTTTATCCCCGAAGGTGTAGACAGAAGTGGCTATTACGGCACGTAGGTAATGTCAGAGTAAAACCCACTTTTCACTATTTATGTTATGAATCCCAATGTAATAAATAGTAGTTGCCATAATACATGGCAATAGCCATATACCGGGCACAACTCCACACTCCGTGTTACCGCTGATAATTTGTTCTTTGTCCGACTTGGAAATCAAACCCGGGACCCCTTGCCCGGCAGTAGCACTTGCGACCACTCGGCCAACGAGGCATATAAGTTAACACATACCTACAAAATATTTGATACTATCAGTCAATAGCCTTACAGGCTTTATAAACCTAGGTTAAAATTAAGGGCCGATTTTTTAATCATCAGCTAATTCTTAACTGTATCAATAAAATTGACATTTGCTAGTTTTTAGTATGGAAAAATTTACAAATATGCAAA